TGAACCCCGGTCTCGGGCTATGTCACTACACACGAAGCTGTGACTTTCCACAGGAGCAAAAAATTTGGCTTTTGATCAAATGTGAAGAGCAGTCGTCAGTAATTTGGCTTTAAAAATACGGAACTCTGATCGTATGGTACCAGTTCTGACCAGGTTATAATGATAACCCATTCAGTGTGGTATTTTTACTGTGGATCTTTCAAGGCATCAAGTTGTCAGCTGTTTCGGCGTTCGTGCAGACCTGCCACAGAACATCTAAATACTAAGTCAAGTAAAATGTTTCCATCCTTCCCACACAAGGAAAAAATACCACACTCTGACTCAAAAAAACCCCTTGCGCTGCCCACCCTTATTCAGGTTTGTGTGCATGAAGAGGTGAGGAGACCAAGGGCAAAGCTTAATGTGTCCTCCCCCCCTAGATCCATGGTTTCAGATCTGCATGAAATTTGTGGCAAAAAGTGTCATGATAAAAATCTACGACACAGATCTGAGAAGATTCTGCTCCAGTTTATGAGGAACATGGGAGAAGAAACATATAGCCCTTTTTTTCCTCAGAAAAAAACACCACTGGCAACATTAACAGTAGTGAAAAATATTTTTTGGCAGTTTGCGTTTTTTTTAATGGCTACATTACACTTGTCCAGGTAAAGAGGTACTTATGGTTCATATATTTAAGGACACCTTTCTTCTCTTTTCCTCCCTACAGGGATCAGCTAACTCCTAGCCAGTCCAGGTACTTTTGCTCTGGCCTGTTCACTGTGTGATCGCCTGGCTGAGATGTGCGAGCTGTGGAGGCAAGGGTGGCTCCGAACAGCTGTGATCCCAAACATCTGTTCCTGTAAGGAGGATGAGCCAACTTATGGCTTTTCTCAAGGGAGGCCACAAGAAGATCTAGGAGGTAAATAGGAGAGTAAACTTTCACTGCATTGCCTTAGGGCCCAATTCATCTCTCTGCTGTTGTGGAGTCCAGAGCCAAGATGGAAAAAAAAGGCAATCTGCATCTTCCCTCCCCCATCCAAAAGCTCTTCAGAACTTTTTCCTCTTGGTTGCCTAAGTGGAATTTCTATTAGTGTAAATGAAAAGTAAATAGGTGCATTGAGAACAGATATGTGCCTTGACTTGAAAAAGTGGGGCTTCAATTTGTGTTTTTGAAAAAGCAAAACTTATTCTGAAACGTTATGCTCTATAAAATTTTTATGAAAATGTGGCAGGGTCAAACCCAGAAGTGTCAACATAAATATGAAAGGATGTGGTTTAGAGCTGGTATTTCACTTGCATTAAGACTTCTATATCTTAATTGCCCATGAATCCTGATTTTTAATCATCCATGTAATTCCATAAAAACAGTGAGTCTCCTGACGCATATTAGGAGCAAAAAATGAAAGCTGAATTAAGCAGCAGGGATTCCTACTCCATTACTTGGAATTCGAACAAGTCACGGCCACTTCTGTAAAGCTAAATCTATAATGTTGGCAGTGTCTCTGTATTCTGTATACTTAGAAATTTATTGATTTATGTAAAGTAAGCACAACAAATACTTCAATGGTTGAGGTTTACTTCCAGATCCTATACAAAAAATTACAGTCATACATTTCTGTAAGAAACTTCCTTACAAAATGTTTCTGGCTTTATGAAATTCTCTTGAAAAAACAATATCCAACAATCACTTTTTGATTCTTATGCAAGATATTAACCTCCAGTAAATTAAGCTGGAGTTTGTACTTCAGAGAATACACAAGAGTGAAAAGGCAATAGCTAATATTCCATTGTTTTTATTGAAAATTATTATTAGAAGGTCAAATAGTCCCTTCCAGACAGCAGATAAACATTATACTTTGTGAAAATCCCTTAAAGAAGGTTGTGCTTGAGCACAAAATCCCCTTCAGTCTGTAACATACTCTGATAATAAAACTGAGCATAGAACTGAAAACTGGAAAAATTGCAGTGACCTTTATGTGTACTGGCTAAGTTGATCTAAAATTGGACTTAAGCTTCAGTTTATATACATTGTGAACTGGTTCCCTTCTGTTATGTTGTATTGTGCAGCATGCTCTGTTTGCCAAATACTGCTTCCATGCGCATTCCTGGTGAATAAACACAAAAATAAACAGATGTAGAGCAAGAACAGAATACGGCCCTCACAAATCTAAACACTAATGAGTATATAACGCTACAAACAAGATCCTCCTCCCATAGGGTTGATTAGCATCAGCGCGAGGGACTCCTCAGGAGTTAAATCAGAAGTGAAAAATGGTAAGTTAAAATTATTTAATAAATCTTCTTGACAGAGAAGGGAATTTTTCAAGAAAACATTTCATATGTTTTGATAAGCTCAAAGAAATTACATGATAAACAGTTGCAAATGATGGTGTTCCTTCAGATAGGTGAAAGCAAAACTTTACTATTCTTTAACCCCCTTTTTTTTTGTCTGCTGTGGTCACTGAATACTTCAACATGGAGGTGTGTTGATTTTGCAGACCTTCATGATGTTTTTGTGTCCGGCATTCAAGCCTATATTTTCAAAGGATGATCCTTGGTGAGGAGGGTCTTCTCCTTAACAGATAGTAGAGCAACATCAGTGCTGCTCTAAGCCCCCATTAGCCTCTGCAGCATCTGTGCTGTCTCCCTCCTTTAGGCTGGGGACGAGTTCTGGACTGAGACTTCCTTCTAGGGAGCTTGTGGCACCGTTCCTTCTTCCTTCTTTTGTTCCATGTCCTTGCCTCCCGCTCTACCCCCTTCCAGGCTCCCTCTTTCTCCCTGCTCCATAGCACTTTGCACCTGCTGCTCTGTTTTTCTCACTCTACTGTGCAGCTCTCTGCCAGCCCGCTGACACCACCACGTCATCCTGTCACCTCCACCGCAGGGGCAAGGATGGTGGGAGTGAAGCCGAAGCATTTCTTCTTGTGTGGAGACATATACGGAAGAGCAGCGGGGTGAGGAGGAGGAATGACGCTGTGCTGGGGCACACTCGATATGGGGGAGCACCCTCCAGCCTGGCGATGGGTGGAGGAAGAAATGAGCAACTAAAGGAGTGGGTCAACACCGCTACCCAGATAAGGTAAGAAGTAGGGTGCGTTACAGTGAATATACGATGAGGGGAGGGCAAGCAAAGGGCACGTGGATACAGGCCCACTGAAGGTATTTGAAAACCCCACTGTGCCCGCGTTGGCGAGGCTCCCGCGGCCGTGCTCCGTGCGGTGGCAGAGCCGCTCGGGCAGCCCCTCCACAGCGCGCGCCGCAGCCTGCTGCTTCTTGCCTCGCACACAATGAGCCCCCCAAGGGCTGTTCTCTGCGGCGCTCGTTAGCGGTACACGCCAAGCCTGACGTGACTGAACATTAATCAACACTACTTTGCTCACTTAACATAAAATTTCCCTCCTATTGTTGCCCTTCTTTTTATGATGTAAATAATATCAGACAGCTCCAGCTAGCTATTCCGCCTGCGTGCTGGGTAGCAGGCTGCGAGGGGGTCAGACAGGGCTTCCTGGGTCTCTTCCAGCATGGCAGTGGTTCGTCTGCAGGGCTGAGGCACAGGATGAAGAGGGCCACACTGCGGGTTGGGGAAGCCCACCACGCGCTGTCAGCTCCTGAGTCTGGGAGCAGTGCCTTGCAGCTCTTCTACTGCCACGGCGTCTGGCGGGGGACCCCTTCCTCTGCCAGCAGAAAGCACGGGGTGGGGTGCCCTGCCTGGTGGGTGGTTTCGCGTGGGCATGGCAGAAGCTGGTTGCGCAGCCCCCAAGGGGCTTGCTCACTTGCTCAAGTGCTTTCTTAACATCAGCAATGCCAAGCCTAGAATTTTCTGGAGGAGAAAAAATGGTATAATGACATCCCAGGAGCACACACAATACTGAAAATTGTTGTAGTTGAAAGCAGATTTTTTTTTTTTTTTTTAAACTGACTTTGGTTAAGTCATCAGGTTGGGGAGTTTGTTAAGACAAGCAGCCTTTCTCAGTAGCCTCAGTCCGGTCAGCGTGAGCTCTCCCAGTGCTCCTGAGCTCTCTAAATGAAATGGAGGCGCAGACGGTAACGTTCCTCGCTTCGCCAGTCTTCTAGAAACCCCATCTGCCGCAGCCTGCACGGCCCCTTATGCCGACACTCTTCGCTCAGGAAAAGTGGACGAGTTAAATTCCTCCCAAGACCACGACCACACGCCGGAGCATCCCCACCCG